ACACACACACACACACACACACACACACACACACACACACAAGTAGGTCTACATACATTGTACCAGGGCTGGCTCGTGTAACTAAAAAGTGGACGTGCACAATTAAGCTATCGCAAGCTGAAGATAGTCAAGGGCACAGTAAATGAGACGGTGTATAATTTTAGGATCTTTGAGTTGGTGAGAGGGGACCACGTGCTTTTATTTTCATTCTTTTTACTTGTAGCTTTGATTTCTAGTACTAAATTTGATTGTTAGCTAAACATCAATTTCGTTCATCCTGTATTAGAACTAAACACTCAAGTAATAATTTTCACCACTCCACTACAAAACCATTCAAAGGCACAACTCATATGACGGTCACGTTCATCTCCCTCAGGTTCACGGTCACAGAGTCACTTAAAATAGTTGCAAGACAGACAATGAACCAATCACAATTCACTTGAGCACATCCCTGATTGCTCCGGGGCCCATATAATATTGGCAAAGAATTACGTACAGTCTATCGCGTTTATTTTTAGACTGCCTACTGTGGGCTATGTTTCGGCACTATTCGGCAGGAGCGCATTTGGGATGTGCCGTCTTATTAATATTAATGTACCGCCAAACTCGCTACGAGTGTCGTCATCGCTTGGGTTATCCCCAAGAGCGATTTATAGGTCATGTTACACTGTTGAATATCCTATTATGTTTAGCTAAAGCGCGTGGACTGTGGCAGGGCATAGTAAATGTTTTACGGCGCTATCGACACAGAAATGGGTTATGGCGCCAGTGATGACCTTTTTTGATATAGTATTTGGCTAGTGTTTGTTTTTGGCTTCTTTTATTTTATTATTGTAGATGTTTTACGTAATAGAACATTTAAAAATGTGGGCGGCACTGCACGACCGTGCTCTATGGACGAACCGCGCCTGCATTGTACATACGCACAATCTCTCTGCAGGCGTTGGGGGTGAACCTCAGCGTACAAGAAACCTGAACCCACGTGTTAACGCAGAAGACATGCATACACATGTAATGTAACACACGAGCATGTGTGTTGTGAGTATGTGAGTCTCTCTCTGTGTGTGTGCGTTTGCGCGCGCGCGCGCGTGTGTGTGTGTGTGGCGTGCTTGCGTGCATGTGTGCATGTGTGCGTGAGCACTGTGTACGCGCGTGCGGGCGTGTGTATGAGCGTGTGCGTGATTGAATAATTTAAGGCCTGAAATGAGTGTTAAAATTTTCCAGCGACCCCCATTCTTCTCATATTATACTCTCTTTTGTTGCAATAATTCCTACTTAGATCTACTTGTGTATAACAAATTGCGTGGCCTTATACTCGAGCCGCTGCTTACTGATATCTTTCTTTCACGGTTGGCTCTTTTCAAACTCTTTTGTAGAGCGTGTTCTTCAGGTGTCAGGTCTGGAGCAGACATAGACGATCATAATGGTACCCCACTCCTTCATGTTGTCTGTCTTCTTGATCAGTTCGATTTTTTTCCATTGTTATTTGTTGCCAAAATGTTCTGGCAAACTGTGTTTGTTGTTCTTCGTCTTCCTCTGCTCTTCTATCCCTCTTGCTTTCCACACATTAGCACCTGAGCTTGTAGAGAGTGTATATAAGGCAATTTTAAGTCGTACTCTCCAGCCTCCATGAACTGGATTAGCCTCCCTTGTCTCCAATCCAAGAACGCCGTCCTTTTTGCATGCGAGAGAGAGAGAGAGAGAGAGAGAGAGAGAGAGAGAGAGAGAGAGAGAGAGAGAGAGAGATACTCCCTGGGTTCAAGGTGAAGATTTGCCTTGTGGTACCGAGTAAAGCTTACAAAAATGTGGTCAATTCTAGATCTTAAATCGCCTTTGTCGGGGTTCATCTTGGACAGAGTGTTGTCGAATGTACAGCTACAGGTCGGGCTGTGGATTTGTGTTATGGCTAACGAAGAAGAATTTTACAGAAGCACATGTTGACGAACGTCTGTATTCTTTACGTGGTGGTGGTACGTTGGTAATATAATCGCTTCCCCAAGTCTGCTTCATACAGCAAAACAAGTCGATGAATTTACAAAGCATTTGAAAATGCATCGTAAGCCTATGTATTTGAATTTGATGGATGTTTGTTACTATTATATCACAACACGCTGCTTCGTCCACTATTCTGTGAGTTCTTTTTTTTTTGATGTACCGGGCACTTGTATCATGTACAGCCTAGTTATTTTACATAAACGTCGGAACAATTTTAAGGATTTGACCAACGGACATCGACCCATTCTCTGTCGCCCCCCCCCCTCCCCCATGCTACATGTATTACCAAATCGACTCGGGTTGTGTGTCTAATCCGAGCTATATGACGGAGACAATTTTTAACTTAATTAACATTTAAAAAAATGGTAATTGAACTCCCGTTTTTGCGTGCAAAGTGAAGAGCCTTTTATAATAATATTATAATAGCGGCCTAGGCTAAAGATTTGTATCGGCAGAAGTGGCAGAGATCTATTCGATATTTAGTAACATGGACTGGTGGACTTTGTTTATGATTTGTAGACAACTAATTTATCACACATGCCCACAAACACACAGCGAGAGACGGCAACCGGCCAGCGAAAGAGCAGCAAAAAAATCAAGACACAAACGCTGGAATTCGCTTCCCAGATTTAGCCATCTTCTTTCCTTTATAGCCGGTATATTTTCCCTGCAGAATGTCAGAAGTGGCGTCAAAGGAAGATTTTTATTTTACGTTATCCTGCAAATTCACGAAATAATCGTCTGTATATGATTTTTTCTAATCATACACTCTTTACAACACTGTTTTATTAAAGAAATTCCCCAGAACAGAATTTAGTTGAAAGCTACTTTGCCGGCACCCCCCACCCCCACAGGAGATGTGTGGGCGATCTGGGAATGTTGCCAAGGGAGAGTATCTGCCTCTGCCGACGATGCGTACATTGAGGGTTCGAGTACAATCTCCACAACTTCTGAATCAAAATACTGAGAGTAAACATGTCGGAGGGAAGTTCAGATGATCTCAGCTCCCAGGACACATGGGTTCCTTATAAGGACAGACCAGAGTGGAAAGATGTAAAACCGATTCTCCAAGACGATGGACCTGCTCCTGTCGTTCAGATTGCTTACAGTGATCAATGTAAGTTTGTAAGCGTGTGAAATGTGATGGTTCTTCAAGAGACACCTCTCTCTTGAATCCAATAATGGAATGCGTTTTTGATCTAACCTGCACGTTTTCGCAGATCTTGACCGAACGTTTTAATTTTAGGATTCCAGGAACGTTTTTATTATTTTTGGGGTATTTTGGCCACCTCTATTCTCACCCGGGATGAGAATAGTGCAGGCGAGTCTTTTGGCTATTCTCACCCGGTGCGCGTTCACCGTTATAGCCTAGATCTAGAATCTAGGCCAACAAATTTTGCGTTCACCCTAAACCACAGAATTCTACACTGTGATAACAGAAAAATTGTAGAATTCTGTGCCGTGAACAAACGTTCCATAACAACTGTAGCCTACTAAAAGCGTACAATTTTGTCTGTGGGCAGTGGAGAGAGAGAGAAAGAGAGAGAGAGAGGAGTAGTGCAAGAACTTCCGGTCAAAACAAAATGGCGACCCGCGTAGTTCGGCTCGATTCGAAAAGTTAAATAGCCGTAGCATCTTTGTAGACAACCAAATTAATTTACTTTTGTGTTTTAACATCATTTTTAAACTTTGTTTTGGTCAATTTGATGGTCCACACCAATAGACAGTATTCAGAAAGAGACAGAGAGAGAGAGAGAGGGGGGAGGAGTAGATCTTGCGAGAACTTCCGGGCAAAACAAAATGGCGACCCGCGTAGTTCGGCTCGATTCGAACAGTGAAATAGCCATAGCATCTTTGAAGACGATCAAATTAGCTTACTTTTGTTCTATAACGTAATTCTTACTTGGCTTTTATCAATTTGATCATCCACACCGATAGACAGTATTCCAAAATGAGGAAAAGCAGGTCTTGTTTCGCACCGGGTGAGAATAGCCTACGCTGGCAAGTCTCACCCGGGGTGAGAGGTAGATCGTTTTTCTATTCTCACCCCGGATGAGAATAGCCACTTCCTTATTTTTAGTAAGGAAGTGGCTATCCTCCCCCGGGGTGAGAATAAAAGTATGATCAACCTCTCACCCTGGGTGAGACTTGCCAGCGTTGGCTATTCTCACCCGGTGTGAAACAAGACCTGGTTTTCCTAATTTCGGAATACTCTCTATCGGTGTGGATGATCAAATTGATAAAAGCAAAGAAAAAAATGACGTTATAATAGCACAAAGTAAGCTAATTTGATCGTCTACAAAGATGCTATGGCTGTTTCACTTTTCGAATCGAGCCGAACTACCCGGGTCGCTATTTTGTTTCGAAGTGACTATTTCTCCGAACGTTCGGAGAAATAGTGCCGATCTTTATTTCTCCGAACGGTTTTCGGCTTCCGGTCTCGTGATTTTTTGCCTATTTATTGCGAGAGTTCGGCGCCAACTTTCATTCTGCCTCTGGTCTGGGAAGGAACACGTACCGCATGGCAAGCCCGCCTACAGAAAACCTTCAGTAACACCCACCACACACCCACCACCATCATGCACATGTACACACACTAACTAAACATAACTAGTGGGCAACTTTTGAACGTATGACGAGCTGAACTGTGGATGGAGAGACAGTGTGAGTGAAAGAGCGGGTGAAAGGAAGAATGTGCGAGTGTATCCACAGGCGACAGCAACTACAAGACGACGACACTGACCACCCCTGGCCTGGTCCACAGCTCACGAACAAAAGGAATGCAGCTCAGGCGGTGTTTTGCCTATATTATTGTCCATGGTTCGCAGGGAACAAGTGAGATTTTCTTTGTGTGTGCCTGGAGGGATGGGGTGGGGTATGAAAGTCATGCGGACGGGGATGAGCCGCGGGAGAGAACACGGGAATTGAATGAAAGAGTGAAACTGAAAGAGACGAATGACTCATGAGTCCTGGAGTGAATGGATCCTGTGTTTCTATTTTTGTATACTTTGAACTGTTACTGAATAAAGGCTGAAATAAAGCCCGAAAAACAAACAAACACACACACACACTCCTCACTCTCCACTTACTACCACACACAGACACACTCAAACACTCACACATACATACATACACACACACACACACACACACACACACACACAGGAGCAAATTTTTGGGTCTATATCTATTTCAATTTTCAACAGCTAGTCTAGATGAGATTTTTAGATGAGTGTAAAAACGTGAAAAAGAAAGGTTTCACAACAGAAAGAAATCAAAATTAGAACAGCCCGTAAACAACAACAAACATTAACAAATAAGGGCGTGTGTCCACCTGTCCGAAGAAGATTGGCAGTTTTAACCCTAAATGTGCGTAATTTTAAAAAAAGTACAGGATATTACATGTAAATTATGGAATCACACACATTAAGGGGCTTGCCAGTGTCAGTACATTGGTCGCAGCAGTGACAAACGCAGATGCCAGTTCTATGTGTCGTTATCAATAACCCTCCGTAGATCTAGATCTAGACAGCACACGAGTGAACACAACACATTACGTTTAAAAGCAGCACCTTTCATAGGCAACACGTCATATCTATAGCGAAAAACTGTTTGGAATTGTAGCATTTCTTTATATAAATATTTACGGCGGACATTTTTTGGACCGATTGAACCATATTGTATACGAACAATCTTTGGTAGGCCCATACTATAATTATAGATCTATATAATATCCGAAATTTGGGGGAAAGGATGATATTTCAGAGTGTTCGGAGAAATAGTGCCCAGCTTTATTTTCCTGAATGTTCGGAGAAATAGTGCCCAGCTTTATTTTCCCGAACGTTCGGAGAAATAGTGCCCAGCTTTATTTTCCCGAACGTTCGGAGAAATAGTGCCGGCCATTTTGTTTTGCCCGGAAGTTCTCACAAGATCTACTCCTCGCCTCTCTCTCTCTCTCTGTCTCTTTCTGAATACTGTCTATCGGTGTGGACGATCAAATTGACCAAAAATAAAGTTAAAAAATGATGTTAAAACACAAAAGTAAATGTGAGGCAGCGTAGTGAAATCAGGCGCTCATCAAAATTTAAATGAAATTGAAGAAAACGGCATTTTTCTTTCCCTTTGGCAATTTTTATCGAGTATTTAGTTTTTGGCTCAGTACTTTTTATGTCATTTAAAAACAATTTGCTGTGTGACTTTTACTTAACGTCCGTTTACTTAAAAACATTGATTAAAGACACAAATAGGTAAATTTACAGTTTCCAAGGACTCTCAAGCTTTGGAAGTCACCAAACTTTGGCGGCCATTTTCTAGCTAATTTTACCTTTGAAACCGGGCGACCCCTACTTGCTTCAATTGTGAATATCTCGTCTTGTATTCAAAATTAATTGATACAGTCAAACCTGGCCTGACGACCACCTCTATAAGACGGTCACCTGTACAAACGGCCGCTTTCCATTTCCCCCCTTGCGTTTTTTCTATATAATTTAACTGTGTAAAACGGGCACCTGTCCAACGCGGCCGCGGCCACCATATTTTAACACCCAACCCCTATCACACAAAGCAAAAACACCTGTCTTAGACGGCCACCTTAGTCATGACTCCATTACATTTTGTCATAAATTGTGCATTGGCCCCTGGCATTTTGGGCTAGCCGTCATAATTCAATCACCTGTCGTTGTTGTTAGGTAGTCCCTCCAACCGATCATGTTGCGTAGGCCCCTCCCACTGTTGACCTATAGTCTAGCTACCAAATTTCAGCTGCTGGTGAGGTAAGCGTGTGATCCCTCACAACCCATAAGCCCCGCCCAGAACTCATACACAAATCGTAAGTGAGATGAGTGGTCACTGTTTACCCAGTCTGTAACAAAGTAACAATGGGCGTCAACATGAACTTGTGACAGAAGCATCGCTCGTTCTCCGAGTGGTGGCGACCCATGTGTTTGTTTTAATATGGTACTTGGTTTTCCTCGTTTGATACATTTCGTTTTATTGTCACCCTTGTGCAAAATCAGCAACAAAATAAAAATTACAAACAAGATACAAACCAACAACAACAACAACAAAAACAACAACAATGCGGCTACTTTTGATTGAGACCTCAGATGGGAATGGTTTGTTTTCTTCATCTTGATCAGTCCTGCCTAAGACGGCCACCTGACTTATACGGCCACCTGTCTTATACGGCCACTTTTCTCCTTGACAATGGGTGGCCGTCTTACACAGGTTTGACTGTATTTTTTTTACTTGAAAGGAAGAAAAATAAACAAGCTCTAAGATGGTACCAATTACTCCATGTGCCCCAAAATTGACGAGCGCCTGATTCCACCATGCTGCCTCACAAATTAATTTGGTTGTCTACAAAGATGCTACGGCTCCTTTCGAATCAAGCCGAACTACGCGGGTCGCCACATTGTTTTGCCCGGGAGTTCTCATGCTACTCCTCTCTCTCTCTTTCTCTGTCTCTCTCCACTGCCCATAGACAAAATTGCACGCTTTTAGGCTAACAGTAGTAATGGAACGTTTATTCACGGCACAGAATTTCCTATTCTGTTATCACAGTGTAGAATTCTGTGGTTCAGGGTGAAAGCTACACTGGTTGGCCTAGGCTATAAAACGGTGAAAGCACACCGGGTGAGAATAGCCAAAAGACTCGTCTGCGCTATTCTCACCCGGGGTGAGAATAGAGGTGGCCTTATGTCGCCTGATAAGCCTAGGGGCCTAGGCTATTTCGGCACCTCGCCATTGTTCTGGTCCCGCCCCCATCAGTCTGGCCCCTGGCTCAGCACACGCGCGCCGAGCATCATCTTCGTTTCAGTCTGGTACCCCGTCGGATCCGCATTCACACAGCTCAAGTGTGTGTGCGTCAGTCTGCTTGGGTTTGCGTGCGTTTGTAGCCTTCTCTAGGACCGCCTGCGTTGGTTTGTAACCGAGGCATACGTCTCATTCAAAACACGTCAAGTTGGTAGCTCTAGATGTTCATCCAATGAAATTATAGAATAAATTGACCCACTTAGACATGAGGAGCTCGAAAGGAGAGAGTCAGGAAACAAGACTTCCTTTTTTCTATACAAATTCTTTCAAATGAGCAGGAAAGGATACTACCTGATAAAAAATAAGCTTCTTTGATAATTTTGAATACCATTGTGCAGGTAAAAAGAACAATTTGAGTGCAAAACATTCAGAAATTGACCTATGTTATCCCCTTTTGAACTCCAGGTCATTCATAACAACAAGAGCGTTTAAAAAGGTTATTTATTCGAATGGGTGTAACTACTTGTAATGTCTTATAACATAGCTTATGAGAGGGGGTTATTCATGTGTTCGTAACACTTTATAAATAGAAAGCTATAAAAGATAAAGCGTTATTTTCCTCATCAATTAATACACTTCCATGGTATTCATGGTGAAAGCACACGTTTCCAGGCGCGCTCGCTGTACACCAACAGTACACACTGAGTGACCCCAGCGGCCTGCCAGAAATGTCCGACGTTATCGGTTTCTGATAAGATTCGCATCTCAGCACAGACTCAGGACAAGAGTTAAAAATTGCAGGCACTCTTCAGGAGAATTGGTCCCGGCCTAACTCCATAGAAATTTATAGATTACACGTGATAGATCTCTAGATTTTAGACCTACATCTATACACACCCAAAGGGAAACAAAAAAAAGGGAAGTCAGGTAAAAAAGTTGGCTGAGTATTTATTCTTTTTTTTTTTTTACTCATGCATTCATCGCATCTCATGTAGGCTGCACGTTTTATATTTTATATATATATATATATATATATATATATATATATGTCCACCGTGTGAGAATAGCACTGCGAGCCTTTTGGCTATTCTCTACCGGTATGCGTTCACCATGATAGGCCAACCAGTGTAGGTCTAGTGTTCACCGTGAACAAACGTTCCAGCGCTCTTGTGTTGAAAGCGTGCAATTTTGTCTTTGGACAATGAGAGAGAAAGAGAGGGGGGGGGGGGGGGGGAGAAGAGTAGCGCGAGAACTTTCGGGCAAATCAAAATGGCGACCCGCATAGTTCGGCTCGATTCGAAAAGTGAAATTGCCATAGCATCTTTGTAGATGACCAAATTAATTTACTTTTGTGCTATAACATAATTTTTTTTCTTTGTTTTTGTCAATTTGATTGGCCACACCGATAGACAGTATTCAGAAAGAGACAGACAAGAAGTAGATCTAGCGAGAACTTTCGGGCAAAACAAAATGGCGATCCGTATAGTTTGGCTCGATTCGAAAAGTGAAATAGCCATAGCATCTTTATAGACGACCAAATTAGTTATTTACTTTTATGCTATATCATCATTTTTTTTTTCTTTGTTTTTGTCAATTTGATCATCCACACCGATAGACAGTATTCAGAAATTGGGAAAAACAGGTATTTTTTATATATAGGGTGAGAATAGCCAACGCTGGGGTGAGGTGAGAATAGCCACTTCCATTATATAAAAGCACTTTTTTTCACATGAAGCTACAGCGAGCACTTACACCTCTGTGATTGGCCCAAATATAGATGATGTATTTCTGCCATCTATTTTTGTCCTCTTCCAGGGCTTCCCTCGCCAGTTGATTAGATCTCACTGTGGCGTGCCAGTTTTGCCGCTTAGGCTACTTACCGCGCTACATCACTAGGTTTCATCGCCGACTGCTTGGGCTTATGTGTGTGTGCGCACGCACGTGTGTGTGTGTGTGTTTACAACTTTGAGGAGAAGGTAAATTTATGGAACCTGAATTGGTGAGATTGTTTATAAAAGATAACACAATTAATACCAAAAAAACGAACACAGCAACATCTAGTCAACAGTTACTGGCAAGGGAAACCCAAGAGCCAGGGGGGAAACCCCGCAAGACGACAAAAATATATGGCCGAACTACATCATCTATATTTGGGCCAATCACAGAGGTCTGCTAGGTGCTCGCTGTAGCTTCATGTCTTTTTTTTCTAGTAGTATTTTGCATGCTGAACATGAATATAATGGCCTCCATTTTTGCCGCAAATCAATAGTTATTGAGTATTGTGATGTTTGAAAACAACTATAGTACAGTAGAACCAATGGCGTAGTAATATTTGACTTGTTTTTAGCAACATGGGAGTTTCAGCCCCCTGACCTACAAAGAATCTCGGAGGGTTTCAGGCCCCCCCCCCTCCCCTGCTTTTCACCATGATTTGTGTTTTGGCAATTAGGATTGATATATTTACTTGAAAACAATTGATTTGCAAGGGTTTTAGTGGTCATATGTGTGTTCTGCAGCAAAAATGATGGCAGTTTAGCCCTCAGATCAGTGCATCTGTGTGTGGGTGCAAAAGTAAAAGTTTACCAGCTTAATTTTTTTGGCTTTTTGTTTAGTTTGATTTTTTCGATACTCACGGAAATAATGGTTTATGATAGATTTTAGTGCCAAAATCGTTCTCAGCTCACAAAAAACCGGTAAAATAGTGCAGAAAAATATTCTTAAATGGGTTTGGACCTTTTGTATAAATTTAGTTTGGTGGCCTTTTCACCCTGGCAACTCAGCCAGCTTTTTTATTTATCCGACTTTCGTTTTTGATTCTGGTTGTATATAAATTTCTATGGAGTTAGGCTGGGACCACTTCTCCCTTGACTTTGATGGATTTACAGATAGGGAGTGTCTTTAGTTTTAGTAGAGGTTTTACGGCGCTCGCAACTGCAAAAGGTCATATGAGCACCAAGGGGTGGATGTCAACAGGGAATCAGACTTACTCTGCTCACCTCTCTAGCTTCAACAGCACAATAAAGTTTGCTTCGACTATCAAGGCGCCCTGGAAATACAGGGTTACTAGAGTGTGACAAACATACAAAAGAAGTAGAGGTAAAATGATAGTAAGGATTAGGAAAGAAAAAGCAGCAGTTCCCTGTTGCAGTTCAGGCACAGTTATGAGCATGACATCGATGAATCAGCCCATTTACAATTCTACTGTGCATAAGAACATGTTAATGCCCCCCTTTCGGAATGGCCTAAAGACAGTCAGTAGCACCGCCCTGGGGGGTAAGGGAGTGTCTACATACATGGCAACCAGGCACATAGTCTCAGTATCTACATACATGCTGACCCGGTACTTAGTTTTGGGGACCCCTTGAGCTAGGTACATGATAACTGCTTAGTTCCTTTCATGACCTTGACTTTTTCCCCCGCTTTTTGTGTGTTATTAGCGGAATGTAAGCAGTAAGCACTACGAGACCATTCTTTGGCCTGTTTCACATTATTTTCGGTCTGAATCCGATAAATAACAAGATGGCATAGCAATATAAATGTATTTAACTAAGTTTGAAAATAGTTCTAACCAGAAGTCCGTGTATACAATGAACCATCGACATGAGCTCCTCCTTTACTCTGAAATGTACTGACAAGACCCCGGGTGGGTTTTTAACTTATGGCGAGCAAAGAGTGGGTAACCTTGATGACTAATCTCAATGGCATAGAACATGCCGTTTTCACTTATCCAATCATGAGTCTCAAGATCAATGCTGATCCTATTGCTCCTCCCCTCTTTACCTGTCCAAAATTTATTGCTTTCCTTCTTTTGCTGTGTTCCCCCACCTCTATCATAAGGCACCACTGTGTTGTGACTGCATCAATTGAAATTCAGCCCGTCTTGCAAATTCGGGAGTAGAGACAAAGTTCTGCCACAATGGTTAGGGAAACAAAAGCAGCGTACAGTTCACAGTTTGGTGTTGTCCTGTCTGATGCAGACTTGTAGGCCCTACCCACCCAGCTTGTGATGTAAGTCTAGATGGAGAGCTTAGATACGAATGCGATGTTTGGGGAAAGCAAACGCGTCTTTGCATTCACACCTTTGTGTGATCCCATCTGGGGCAAACATTGTACCTTCTCCTTGAGATGCACAACAGACGTGTGATCGCATTCACGAGGTGTGATGCAATGGACAGTAAAATGATCACAATTTTGTTGATCAAGCGTGCCCACCCAGGTTTTTGTGCCGTAAATTATGGTCTGAAATGGGGGATCACTTTTGTCGAATTTGGTCCTTCTGAGAGGGTGAATTTTGTATAGCAAAAATTATGTTTTCTTGAAACATTGGGATCTTTGCTGGAGACTCCTGTATTTACTACAGAGAAATCTACTGGTCCACATTTAGGCCTAAATTTACTGTAGATCTGTCCATTTTATATCAATTGTGCACAAGTGGTTTGAGCTGGGGGGGGGGGTGGTAATCAGGTTCTATTCGACTGAACTACTTCACATAGTCGAAACCTGTTCTACCGATTACCTGTCAAAGACGATTACCTGTACAAACAACCATTTCCCACTTTGCCCCCTTTCATTTTTTCTATATTATAGTTATACTGACTTTGTTTAAGAGGACTACCTACCTCCTGCCTAAGTTGACCACTTTTCACCTAGACAATAGGCGGTTGTCTTGTATAGGCTCAACTGTTTATTAAATCGAATTCACACTTTATTTTGATAAGAACAAAAAGAAATAATAGATAAGGAATAATATTATAACTGATTTTCTTTTCAGTTAAGGATGTTTACAACTACTTCAGAGCTATTGTGGCTGCAGATGAAAAGTCAGAGAGAGCTTTAAATCTTACAAAGGAGGCATCAGAACTCAACCCTGCCAACTATTCTGTTTGGTAAGTGTATTTTTTAAAATAGCTTTGTTAAGATTCAGTTGTTTTGTGAGACATTAACTTCATGGCTGTTTGCATTCATGTGCTCTTATAGAAAGGGTATTCAGTGTATGTGGATCATAATATTTGTTCATAATTTTGTTTTTGCAGTTTAAACAGGATTATTTGAAAACTCACCTCAGCAAATTAGACCTGGTTATGGATGCACTGAGATAATTTAGGTTGTGTTTCTTTCAATGGTCGTGACATAATTATGACATATTTTAAGTGGATATTCTCACTATCAGAAATATTAAAATTGTTACATTCCGAATTTCGGGTTGTGGTCGTCTTATTTGCCAAGGGAATGGTTTTGAGGCTTTGTTAAAATCTCTTTCTAAATGAGACCAAATTTAAAGTCATTATTTGATTATTTTATTGGACCTGTGCTGACTGTCCTCTCGTCCAGATGAAGTGATGTTCTTTTATGAAATTTAGGGTAAATTTTAAAAAAATGGATAAAATACAGATTATACTTAGGTAGGTGTTGGAATTTTGCCCTGTCAAAATTTATTTATTTCATTTGTGACAGAGAGATTGTTATTTTTTTGAAAATATTGATCACTTGATAAACCCTTTTTTTCCTTTCCATTTGTAGGAACTACAGACGGAACATTTTACAAGAATTAGATAAAGATTTGACAGAAGAACTTCGCTACATATCTCAGGTCATAGAAGATAATCCAAAGAACTACCAAGTGTGGTAAGTTTGAGATGAAATGCTGTCCAAAATAGTTCATCCTTTCTTTTTACATGGAAATGTGTTTCAAATGGGTCAAAAAGATTTAGCTATTGTGACTTGATGTGAGTATGCTCATATTTTTCTTGTGACTACATTTATTCTACTTAAAAAAAATTTTTTTCCTGAGATTTCTGTGTTTGTAGTTTGTTACAAATAGATACATACAGCTTGATTAGATCTATATTTTATTGTGTCACTTTTTCCTTAACCCTATCCGTACGCCCTGGGGTCATTTTGTACTCCCGGAGTTGTATTCGTCACATTTAAGAATACTTCTAGTACGAAGATCTCTTTGAAACTTTCACTATTTCTTAAAAAATCATTTTGACAGACTTTTATGCAAAGCGTACGGATCGGATTAACAAGTAAATTTCCTCTTTGGAAAGTGGTGGCACAGAGTTCCCCACGTTGTATGGATATGATAGTAAAACACGACGTACGATAGGGTTAATCTATGTGTATTTTGTGTTTTTGAGCACTTTCCTTTCATATCTTGTCTTTTAATTTTTGAGTTATTTTAAAGTGGTTTGGTAAAATGCCAAAATGCATAAAAAAACAGTTGTGAGAAAATGTCAATGGCATAACCTCTGCTGGAAGAATGCCATAACAAGACAGATGGACAGTGGCCATATGGTGAAAGTCAATAACTCATAGACAAGTTCTGTTGCAACTTCAAAGCACTGCGCCAGGCTACTGTGTTTGTGAAGATATCTGGTTCTGCCAAATGAAGAACCCGGAAGAAGAAGATGGAAAATTAGCAATTTAGTTTTTAGATACTATAAAAGTTTAGCTCTAATTTGATTTTTTCCACAATTGCTATCATAATATTTTGTCCATCTATGTCTTATGATGACAATATGCATCTGCAGAGGAGAATATTTCCCAAGTGAAATAGAAGAAATAAAGGTTAAGATGATTTATGGCTTCAGTAATGGCCAAAGTGATTATTTCTAACGAAAAGTTTGCCTCATTTTGAGCATTTAAAAACTTCATTTTGACTTGCGGGTTTCTCTCCTGGCTTCAGCATTTTCTATTGTAATGTAATGTAAAATTACATAACATTTTTTCGTTTTCTGTTGTTATTGAGACAATCTTGATGATCAGAGTACGTTGCAACTGCTTTTTACTTAGGTTTAGGCTAAGAAAGTACTTAAAAGTGTCTCTCATCCTTTCGTCCCCGCCCACTAGAGTTGGATCAGGCTAGCTAAATCGGTGTCCGTGAGTAACAAATGGTTCGCAGGTACTACTCTCAAACAAGTGGATGGGTATTGAGCAGTCCGCTTGTGAAGATTCGTTCGCTGCTCGTTACACATCGAACAGGGAGACAACAGTTTGCTAAGGGAGCGGGCGGATGTAGAGACTCTATGCATTTGAGTGGGTGGGTGGACGAACGGAGCGACTCCTTCCATTGCATTCTGCTTACACTTACACCCCAGCCATCCACCCCCCCCCCCAAAAAAAAATCACTTTGCTGCCCCACATTGTAGCTAGGCGTTCATGGAGGAAATTGTTCTACCCCCACCCCTCCCCTGAAAAAAGTCCTTTGGGAATTCTTTAAACTTCGCCTTTGCGATCAAGCAGAACATACACAGTGTGACCCATTGACAAGGTGAAATGTTACACACATAGTACTACGTCACCAGCCTCTCTCACTCCCTGTGGCAATGCCAGTAGCTTTAAACATTAGGCCTACTTAACAAACAATAGACAATGGGCCTAACCTCGTGTTGAGTATCTTGTCTGCTAGAGTTCGTCTGCTCGCCCACCCGCTTAGTGAAAGAAATTGTGGAGCGGACCCAAGAAACGAACTGACTTGAGGTTCGCAGTCCGTTCACCCCAACTCTACCACCCACCCACCCACCTCTGCACCACTGTCGAGGAAAGTTTTAAAGATATGTATATTCAATTTGTAAAAAAAATTGTGCGGTTTCAAAATATAGTTTGTTTAAAGTAAGCGACAGACTTTCGTTTTCCTTGTCTGAAAGAACAACTTCCAAGTAAAGTAATATTGATTTATGCATGTTTTCAAAATGCATTTGTATTTCTGTGTCTTGCAGGCATCATCGGCGTGTCCTTGTTGAGTGGCTGGAAGATGGCTCGCGGGAGCTTGGGTTCACAGCAAACATCCTCAGAGATGATGCAAAAAATTATCACGCTTGGCAGCACAGGTATGGTTGTTTGCTAAATTTTTGACGTAGCAGTTTGTCTCATCCTCAATAGATCTCTGAGTGGGTTCCTAGTAGGTACATATTGTGTTTTACTGTCTTATATGATAGTTTCGTGTTGAGATAAAAATGTCCTTTTAGTCCTTTTGTGTTTTATGTACTGTTTCCAAAGTTCAGGGCAGTAATGTGGTAAGAATAGCAGTTTTCAAAATGACCACATTTTGTTACCCCACATAAAGTGAAAGTTCTTTTTCAATTGTTCCATATGTATAATATATGTTGAAGTGACATGGCAGAAAAATAAAGTGAGGGAGCTTTTTAGTAGTGATTAGGTAAGCCTTGAAAATTGTTGGACTTCTAATTTATATGTCAATACAATTGTGAAGGGATTTTTGTAAAACTAAGATGAAAAGAACAAGAAGTCTCAATATGTGTAGCTTTTTTCAGCAAAAATAACAAGGACAAAAGATAACTAGAATAAAAATCCGAGTACCTTTTCTCCAACTATGTAGCTGTTTTTCTGCCTACTTACGGACCTGCTCACAATGTCTGTTCTGTTGGCTAGTGAAGTTATTTCCCTGTCTAGAGAATGTTTCTGAGTGTTCCAGGGTGTCTTTGGGGTAATAATATAGTGTTGTAAAGTACATAGAGCTTGCTGTCGAGCAGGGATAAATGCTATACAAATGCTATTAATTATTGTCATTATTACTTTTTGCAGGCAGTGGTGTATCCAGCACTTTTCATTATGGGACAAGGAGCTGGAGTATGTGGATAAGTTGCTCAAGGAGGATCTGCGCAACAACTCCGCTTGGAATCAGAGGCATTTTGTGATAAAGAATACCACAGGTTTTACAGACGATGTGGTCCTAAAGGAGCTCAAGTGAGTCAGTTTTGTTGAGAAGCTTTTCAAATCATGAATAGTGGCCACCAGTGTTTACTTGAGAAACAGTCTTTTCCGTTTGAAATTAAATATTCTTTGTGTGGTAAACGGTTTAATTTAATCTATTTAGATATTATATGAAAAATGTTGATGCAAAAGCAGTAACCAGCTACCCTGGTCACATTCTGTGTATCTGATGGCTGGTCACTGCGACATAATTCCCTGCCTCGATCCTCTTTGGCCCCACACACATGGGCCCTGGAGTTTGCACAGCAGGAACATTGTAATCTTTACATCAGCTTGACTTGATGCTTGGTCCCAAAAAGAGTCGAACAATACAAGCTTCAGGCTTGGCTTGGTCACGGTCTCAAAATATTTCTATTTGTTGTTGGAGGTGCAGTGGGAATGTCAATTTTTAAAATTGTAAGTTATTTTAAAAAAAACAGAAATTGAAAGTTTGAAATCCTTTGTTTCTTTTGCTTTTGCTCCTCGAAATATTTTTTTCTTTTGCCTTTTTGTGTACTTGGAGATCGTGCAAAGCAGTGCAGAAAAAAAGGTTTTTCTAACCACAAATTTTTCTTCACAAATGAGTGCCTTCCCCATCTGTAATTTGTGTAATACTGTTACAAAACAAATGGTGACATGTTGCTTGTTTTCAGGTACTGTTATTTGGGAAAGGAAGTGGGGAGCAGTGGCGGTGGGTGGACCAAGATTTGGGTGGGGCTTAGGTTTCTTCCACTTCTTTACCACCAAATAGCAAGCAATAAGAATAAAACAGTGATGATTCTTCTATAGTCACGGCGAGTCACGGCATTTTGAGAACAATTCAAACGAGAAGAGTCACCTTTGTCTTCCATCTCTTTGTTCTTAGTTAAATTTAAGCTCTTCTGTGTGGTGGGGACGAAGCCGTTTCACCTCCAAAGTTTTTATCTGAAGAAAGTGATTTGATGTAATTAATAACTGTTAAATCTCAGCAGCACAAACCCACAGCACTCCAAACACATACCGTCTATGAGGTGGATTTGGTCGTGTTGTTGCGGAAAATAGAACGCGCCTAACAAAGGCCCAATGGGCGCATAGGTAACTGTGTCACTGGGGGAAAGTGTGTCGTAAACTTTCACCCCATTGTCAGGGCTGGGAGAGCGTGAGCCCTCTGTGCAGTGTTATTTTTTAAAGTTTTCTACCTTTTTACAAGAAGAGTGTCATTAAAGACGGGCGTGGGAACCGGCTTATTCTTTCTGAGCCCTAACAACATTTGATTGGCTGTTAGGTTACTATAGTTGTAAGCGGTGACAACAATGATTGGATAAACGGGCAAGCCGCCAAGCTAATAACTGTGTGTTCATTGCGTGCGATCTTAACCGTTTTAACTGCTTATTTCGTTATTTAAGAAACTTTCATTAACTAAAGGATAGAGTTGGAGTGGGGAGGGGGTTGGGGTGAGGGGCTCAAGCCCGTAAGCCCTCCTTCACTACCCACCGCCACTGGTGGGGAGGAGGACGGAATGCATAGTTAATCATTACTGTTATTGTGTTTCTCTTTAATTCAGAAAAGAAGAAGCTTAGGTGGATTATATGTCTTTAATTTTTCTTTGCCTTTGGTGAGTGGTTAAAGGACTCCTTTTTGGGGCACATTTCTCTTTTTCTTTTTTAATATAATATTAGTTCCAGCATTTTTGACTTGTCTTTAATCAGAGGTAACATCTTTTTTTCCTTATATGAATTACTTGTATAAATTATCTTTCAGATATGCTCAGGACTACATAAAGAAGGCCCCTAACAATGAAAGTGCCTGGAATTACATGAAAGGGTGAGTGCCGTTTTGTTTGAAAAAAAAAAAGCTATATTTAGATCAAATATAGTTGTAGCATACATCAAAATGTCCGGAAAGGAATGAACTTTTATAAAATGTGTATTTTGTTGGGAAATTTATATATCTTTTTATGTTACGCAGTCATAAATAGGCCCATAATTTTTTCTTCTCACAGAAGTTTGGGAAACATAAAATCATGACTTTCCATTGAAAAGCTTCGTATTCGCATTTTATCGCATCCTTGAATGCAATCTCGCAGTGTGCGGCTCCAAGCAGAAAAAGAGTTAAAAATTCATTAAACTCAATAAAATAACTTGGTTTCAACGAACACATAAATGAGCAAACTTGGATTCAACAAAGTTGCTTGCGGTGTGAACAGCCCCCCACTGATGTGGCTTCGCGCATTTTTCTCCTGCAACGGACCTTAGAAACTACTCCATTTCAAAAGATTATCTATCGCACTTACAGTGTGGATAATTACACACTTAGCCTAGCCTATCGCGTGCATCATATGTGACCAATCAGAAGCCATTTTTCACACCAACACATGCGTAATTGACTTGCGTGTAAGACATGGTGTGTTTTAGAGTGTGCCAGGGTCGAGAGAGGTTGGTCGGGTGGCTGTTAGTAAGTGTTTCTGGGGAGATTGGTGGGGAAGGGGAGAGGGGCGTGGGCACTAGCATTTCGAGTGTGGAAAGTCGACAGAGATAAAGATGCGTCGCAGTCATATCCATCCCTTCCCCAGGCTACGTCATGGGTTGTGCTGTTCTGTGGCAACACACATTTCTGTATGCTAGGCCCTATATTATGACTCGACTTGTTGTTCACATTGCTATATATATATATATATAGTCGAACCTGCTCTGACGGCCACCTCTATAAGACGGCCACCTGTACAAACGGCCACTTCCATTTTCCCCCCTTGCTTTTTTTCTATATAATTTAACTGTGTAAAACGGGCACCTGTCCAACGCGGCCGCGGCCATCATATTTTAACACACAACCCCTATCACACTAAGCAATAACACCTGTCTTAGACGGCCACCTTAGTGACTCCATTACGTTTTGTCATAAATTGTGCACTGGCCCCTGGCGTTGTGGGCGAGCTGTCATAATTCAATCACCTGTCGTTGTTGTCAGGTAGTCCCTCCAACCGATCATGTTGGGTAGGCCCTTCCCACTGTTGACCAATAGGTACCAATTTTCAGCTGCTGGTGAGGTAAGCATGTGATCCCTCATAACCCATAAGCCCCGCCCAGAACTCAAACACAAATAGTAAGTGAGATGAGTGGTCACCCAGTGTGTAACAAAGTAACAATGGACGTCAACATGAACGCGTCACTCGTTCTCCGAGTGGTGGCGACCCATGTGTTTGTTTCAACATGGTACTTGGTCTTCCTCGTCTGATACATTTCGTTTTATTGTCACTCTTGCGCTAAATCAGCAACGAAATAAAGATAACAAACAAAATACAAACCAACAACAACAAAAACAAGAAACAATGCAGCTACTTTCGATTGTGACTTCAGATGGGAATGGTTTGTTTTCTTCATCTTGATCAGTCCTGCCTAAGACGGCCACCTGTCTTATACGGCCACTTTTCTCCTTGACAATGGGTGGCCGTCTTACTCAGGTTTGACTGTATATATATACATACATATATATACATATATATATATATGTATGTATGTATGTATGTATAAAACGAACACTTGGATTCAAAGAAATCGAAGGTCAGGCCCGATGACTTCATTATATTTGAGTATCAATGTATTTATTTTAAAGGTTTATTTTAGTAGGTCTTGGTATCTTACTTCTGACATGAACATTTTTGGCATTTGTGGGATGAGGATTCATGTATATTTTACTTTCAGCAGTTCCTTGTAATGGGGCCCTGATGTTATGTTTCGAGGAAAGACACTGCTCTATTTTTATGTCACAGCTCCCTCTGGTGAGCTGCTTGGCCTCAAAATCTCCAGTGGATATACCAATGATTTGAGATTTACAGAGATAAAGTTTTTACAATTTATTAGTATGGAAAGATCAAAGACATTTCAACTTGGAAGAATATAGCATCAGTTGAAAATGTGCAAATTTGACTCTACTGTTGATTTTTGGGCGATATCTCTATTTGATGAAATCGAGAAGTAACTCATTTAGTAGCAGTGTCGGTAGTTTAGTGATTAGGCTTCTGGACTCGTAATTGTAAGGTTGCTAATTCGGGTTATGAACTGAAGGCTGCCCACCATTGCAAATTTGCCGGAATTGTGACGATTCAATTTTACGAAAATACGATCATGTAACCCGATACTCTTGATGATTATGAATGTTTTTTCCATCGCGTGCACAGGGCGATTTGAAATTGAGACAATTTTGAGGAAAAATTGTAATTGGGCTTTTCGAGATGAGCTATTTTACACATCCGTGTGTGTGTTGTGAAGTGTTTCCAATACGTAGAAAATGTAGCAGTTCAGTTGGGGTATGGCATGTAGATCAAGCTGTCTGTGAATTCGAGTTTTCGGTGTTCTTGTTATCTGTGCTTGACTGACTGTATCTACTTCCACAGTGTGACAGTGTCAATCTTCATAATCATCTACAGGTCTGTTTGAAAGCATTTGCAGACCTGCAAGTATTCTGATGAAATTGGAGCCTTCTGATCTTTTTTTTGGGTCAAAATCTGATTTTTTTTCTTGAATTCGGTTTCCTTCGGTCATAGACAGGTAATTGTAAACAATTTGAAAATACAAAGGTTTATTTGCAATATTTACACAACTTATTGTAAATGATGTGAAAATGCACATTTTTGTTTGCTTTTATTTGTGTGTATTTTGCAATGTACACATTCATTTGGCACGATCAGTTTATAAAATATTCTGAATCAGCTGGGGTTCCGGAGACAGATTTTTTTTTTACCTTATGTCCAATTTTCATGGAGTATACCAAAGAAAACTCCTATTTTTGATCATGGATGGAGGGGTTAGGCAGGTCTGCATATGTCTTGATTAATTTGGCTCAAAGATAATATTTCTTTATGCAGGGTGCTGTTGGACCGCAAATTGTGTGACTACCCTCGTGTGATGGAGTTCTGCCAGGAGCTGTACTCGAAACAGATTCGTTCCCCGTTCCTTATTGCCTGTATGATAGACTGTTACGAGGAAATGTTGGAGACGGAGAAACCCAAGAAAGAAGAAAATTTGCAGAAAGCTACTCAAGTGAGTCCTTTGTCCTTGCCTGTTGTTCCAGATCTCTTTATGTGATGTTTTTGAGCACATAGATACAAATAAAAACGTTTTGTGAAGTGATTTTTGAATTAATTATTAAACGCTTTCCAGAAAAAAAATGTTTTTCATACTTTTGTATTAGGTCGTTGTAAGTCTGTTAAATAGCTTAAGAAAAAAATATTTGGAAGTTTTGAGTAGAAGATGTCCAATTGTTCATGTAAGTGTCAATTCTACTGTCAAAGTAAGCACAAATTTGTGGGACGAGTGGTGAGGCTTGCTCATGCCACCTCAGTTCACTTTATGATTTTTGTCCTAATCTGTGCATATTTGGCTGCTGATGCTACAAAAATGTCGGTTTGAATGCAGTCTGGATATTTTTGTTTTCTGCTCTGTTATCTTATACTAAGTACTTAATGACTCATACATTTATTCTCTACTCCCATGTCCCACACATATTTTTGTTGCGTCCTCTACTCATCATGTGGGCCTTTGAGCATACATAGTTAATACAGTAGTCTCCGCCTAGGATCCCACCGCTTACGATCCCGGTTCGCTTAAAAACCTGCTGTTTTAAGAAACAGAATTTTTACTATACAAAAGTCACCCCTAAGATCCCGCTCTGATTCACTCTGAAGGTCTACATTTGGCTAAAATCCCGCATTTCTGATAATAATTTGCGAAACAAAAACTCGGGCAGGCACAGCCGATCAATCAAGAGTAAAAAGTTGAGATCAATGAACTGCCCGTCCCGTCAAAGATCAGCCACTCTCGTGAATGGGTCACATAGGCGTTGTAAAACTCGATGAAACGGTACAATATTTGCCCCAGATGGGATCACACCGATGTGTGAACTGACCGACGCTTTTGTTTTCCCCAACATCGCACACACATCTGAGCTCTCCACCTGAACTTACATCACTTCGCTCCAGGCGGGATCACATCGAATTGTGAACTCTTCTCTGACCATTGCAGCAGTTTTCTCTATTGCCAAATTTGCGAGACAGACTGAATTTTAATTGGTGTGGTCACAACGTAGTGGTGCGTAAGGACAAAGGCGGGGGAACTCCGTCAGAGATGGAAAGCTGTATATTTTAGACAGGTAAAGGGGAGGTGCGACTGGATAAACGTAGATCTTGAGACTTTCGATAGGATAATAAGTGAAAATGGCACGCCTCATGCCACTATGCACTGTGATAGGTCATCAAGGTTGACCACTCTTTGCTCGCCATGTCATTAACCGACCCAGGGGTCATGTCAGTTCATTTTAGAGTGGAGGGAGACCATTTTACAGATTGTGAGCCTTAACATGGGTCACCGCAGATTCTTCCCTGGGTTCGTCGTCTAAGATCCCGCATTTCCTTGCTCCCTTAGGCGGAGACTACTGTAATAAAAATTTGATCATTTAGACCTACAGGCACATACGCACGCATGCATACACACACTCACCCATGCACACACAGACACACATGCACACACACACACACACACACACACACACACACACACACACACACACACACACACACACACTTTCATGCAGTCCCACACAGTTGCCCTCACCATTGGCTCCTATTTTCGCGTCATCCCTTCACAGTTGTGTACAGAGCTGGCAGAGGAGCATGACACGTTGCGCAGCGAGTACTGGCAGTACATGGCACGCTCGCTGGCCTCCAAGTACGGTGCAGAAGTGGCGGGTGACTCCTAGTGCTAGGGCCAGGAGGTCTCTCGACTCCCTTTTGGTGCTTTGCTGTGTCCCGAGACCTGTGTTATCTCGCTACAGTGTGTCCCTTCATGACTCCGGGGGGGAAAATAGCCTCATTGACTTTACTGACCACTCTGTGACGGATGATCCACCAAGGAGAGAGTTTCTGTGACCGGGGCGCGCGCACCTTCCAGAACAAGAATTTTGTCCTTGAAATTTTGGAGGATTCTTTGCCACTTGTGTTTCAAGGATGATTGTTCAGGATTGCTGTCATATTGTTCTTGTACTGGAGGAAGGGAAGGAAAATCTATTGAGTTCAAACCGTTATGAAATCTCAAGGTGGAGGTATGTTGCTACTGGTGTGGGCCGGGGTATTGGGGGGGGGAAAAACAGTATAAAGTTTTAATGAAAGATGGAATGAGATATTGATTGTGATTTGACCAAAGATTGAAATAGTATTGATCCGGTATGTGTTCTGCAGTCTGTGGCACTAGATTATGCAAAGATGCTGGAGCATCAAAGAGCTGGCCATTGTTATGTTCGTGAATTATTAGCACTTTTGGAAAGTAATTTTTTGTAGTAGAATTTTTTCAATATTTCTTAGATGCTGATGTGATGGACACCTCTGGAATATGAATTATAGGTAGAGTTATTGAAGGTTCGTGTTTGAATCTTTGTCCAAGAAATTTTAGAGGATTGTTTGCGAGACAATCAAAGGTTACTGTTAGATTCTCTTTTAGTTCAATCTTTTTATTGTTTAGGGAGCAGTTGTAGCGGGGTTTTTTATTTTTTTATTTTTGAAGGGGGTGGTGGGGTAAGATGATGGAGATGATCCCTTTTATTTTTGTCTGTCATGCAGGTTTTTAAAATGCTGTGTGCTTTTCATTTAAAATACTTTTACAATTACAAATCCAGAATTGTATCAAAATGAACGACCTCTTGTAGTTGTTTTTTTCATGGCTTATAAAGAATGCCTGGTCCGACTGAAGAGATATTGCTATGATGTATTGATAAATAATATTTGAGATGGCGGTGTAGACTTGTATGTGGAAGCTTCTGCAGGGCAGTATGAGGATCATAATGCAAGATATTTACTTTCGTAGCAATACGTATTTCTAAAATAGTTAAAAGAATTATAGTTTCTGTTGTATGGACATGGCCCAGTATACTTTACAGATAGTCTGTTTTGTAAATTGATTTGTAGTCGTGTTTTTTCTATCGTCAGTATTGTTTGTTTCTCCATTTCCTTTTTTTTTTCTTAATTGAAAAGTTGTGGCGAACATAAATCATCTTAAGAATTCTTATTACTCGTTATATTTCTTTTTGTAACTTTGGGACCCTGTTAAACTGTTTTGCGACGAAGGAACAGGTGATAAGACTAGGAAAACATCCTGAACAGATGAGGTACTAAGACAGCCATGGTCATTGTGTAGATTAGCTGATCTTAATCAATCACAGTGTGAGTAGAAAGTCAGAGTAGATTTAATGGGGGTATTTTCTATTCCTATTTCTGTCTGTACGCACTTGATTGAAAGGTTCACATACATGCATGCATTAAGATATTTACATGATGTTCACAACTCGTCCCCCTGTGTTGGCTCCTGCCAAGCATGCATTCATCATACTTGTGACCCTTTGATGATCTCATGTAATTCTTAATGTGAATCTTTCAGGTACAAACTTCCATTACTAACTTAGTGTTCTTGGAAATATTTATATATATATATTTTGTGTGTACACTTGCACGTACCACCTGAAGCTAACATCTTTCCCCCTCTGGGGGTACTGAAAGTACTCCCTACATTTTACCCGCTCAGTGTGTTTAAATGTAATCCACTTTGATTGTCTATGTAAATCAAAAATGAGTGCATGTTATCGCTTACAAATGCTCTGGCATATTTTTGGTATAAGGATGTGCATCAGTGTGGAACATACTGTGAAAAGTTCTTAAATGGTTTTTGGTTGTAAATTTGTCAGTTTTGAGTGAAGGAAATTTTGTGTGCCTGGTCTTGCAGAACAGAAATGGCGTTTTGTTGCTGTTGCAAACAAAATTGAGTAATTTCGTTTTTCTTTTCCTTACTGGGTGAGTGAAAAAACATGGGACTTTCTCATTTTTCTCCCGACAGCATCATTTTGTTTACGGCTTGTGGGTGTTAATTTGAGACATTTTTAAATATTTGGTTATTCAACTTCATGTTCTTTTTAGTGCACTCTGTGTCTCACTAATTGGTTATCTGTGTCCGAAGGCCTTTTATTTCTTGCATTCCATACTGTGTGTACAGAAGCACTTGTTAGGCTTGTCAACTTTCTGAAAATATATTTCCTCATAAATTAAGTTTCTAGATTGTTGACTTTTTTTTTTCTATTTCAACTTGTTATGTCGCGCTAGTCACTTTTCTTTATTGGATACCAGTTCTGTTTTCTTACTTTGTTCAAAGATTATTTCCATTTCTTGTTTGTCTTTGAGAATAATGATTTTTGTTGTTGTAAAGACTTCTTTTCTTTCCCTTTGCCTGTCTTCCATCATACTTATGTTATCACTATCACTTAATGCACCTAAGTAGGCAGATTGTGTGTGTGCATGTGTGGTGGGGGGGTCGACTTCACTGACTTGTGCTGTTGGTACATTTGTACATTTGCCTTTTAAAAAAGTAAAATATTCACTAAATTCTTACTTTCATCGAAAAGGAAATTGATCTGAACATAGCATAAACAAATGTGCTCAAATCATGTTTAACATTCAAAGAAAATTTGTACAAAGCACCATTGTTGATTGCAATGATGCAGCACTCTTGTTTTCAAGCTGCCATTAAATTGTGTCCAAAACAAGTAGAGAATCTGTCTGTTGCTCACTGTCACTTGACTTTGCTAGAAGTATTTTTTGGGGGGTAAGTTCACTGGCCACTTGTGGTGTAAGGGTACTTACTGTTCACCCGTTGAGCCTTGACTTGGTCACCTGAGAGCAGAGATCTTGTGCAGCTGAAACTCTGTGCAGTCGACTGGGTGGTTGGTGGGTGCTCTGGTGTGGTTTACTCCTTCTATCCTATCGAACATCTATCGTCCTTTTCTGTTCCCCTTCTTTTTTGTGTTTCTTTCTCTTTTTTACTCTCTTGTAACACCTCTAATCTTCAGCACTTATGTGACCTAATTGTGTTGCGAGTGCTGTAGAAAACTAAAACTCATTCTAAAAACTGTCGACTGCTAGACTCGTACCATCGCATGTTGAGGTGTGTATGGGAAGAAAGGAAAAGGCAGCTCTGGTCTGTAGTGCTAAATATTAGGTCTAATTTGTAATGAATAATAAATACAGTGTTGTAGTCTCTATGATTTTGCTATAAAAGCTTTTGATATTCATGTAAAGGCCGGAGAGTCAAAGTAGTGTTCTTAATGCAGCCTGGAATAAATCCTGTCGGTTAGGTAAGGAAGCACAGAGGTTTATAAGTGCCCCATACAGGCTCGAATTTGTTTGTCAAAAATTTTTGAACAAATTTTGTTGACAATTTGACTTTTTCTCACACGCTCAAATTTTATTTGTCAAACATTAGTTTATGCCAGGAGTTTGTAATGGACGGACCAACAGCGTTGGCAGTTGCGAAGAAAAAAAAAGAAGAAAAGTGGGCTCTGTGACCGTGGCGGAGTTTCTTGACTGCGCAGGAATAAAAGAGCATCCAAAAACCAAACCACAATGGAAGGCTCGTAGATAATCATCTGCACCGACCCCTTCTATCCGGCAGCAATTGAAAAAATAATGTTTGCTCAAATAAATTTGATGATGCCCACACACGATCAAATAGTTTGATGGTTTGACAAAAAATATCAATTGAAAACAGATCCGTCAAATATTTGACATCAAAGTATTTTGACCATCAAACACGCCCATACATGATTCAAAACCTGTCAAAAAAATTTCTGTCCAACATATTTCATCAAACAAATTTGACCGTGTATAGGGTACTTTGGTCGAGTCATCCGTGTGTAAAATAGGCTCTTATCCTTTCTTTTTTAAATTAGTGTTTGTTCATGAGTGACATGTAATTTTTTGATTTTTTTTCTTTTTTTACTTTTATACTCTTGTAAGTGTTTAAAAAGTAAATTTGTATGGACGATGTGACTTGGAAGTTCTTGGTTCTGTTCATCCTGTTACTTGTTGATGCAATTTCATTAGTGGTTTTTTTTTTTTTTGTGTAAATGAGACGGCCTCTCAATTTTTGTGGCTCCGCCCTTCCCATAAGTGAGGACTAAGGATTATCATTTTTAACACTTTTTTCCCCCCAGTGTTTTAGAGGGTAGCATTAAAAGAGTAATTTTTTTAAAGTTTTGATGGTAGGCTGAGAAGTCTGATTTCACTTGAGCTGAATTGGTCGTCCATTTTTCCCATCTTATTGTCCTGATTCCCCACCAGGATACAAGGAATTATGGTCTGTGTTGCTATTTACACATGTTTTGTTTGTTTTTGTAAAGTGTTTTACGGCGCTCGCAACTGCATAAGGTCATATGAGCGCGCGGGACACACCTAATATTTTCAGTTGGTAGGAAATTTTGAATTTTGCCCGGGTAGCGGCCGAAGCCTACTCTTATCGATTTTAGACCACCAAGGGATCTTTAACGTTCGCAACTTGCACACGGGCCCTCCGAGATTTTTCGCCCTTGTCCGAGAAAGCTAGGTGTGGATCTTTCCTACCAGAAGATCAGGGGTGTGGCAGAAAGACAGCAGTAAGGAGGAGCCAAGGAGTAGCAGTAGAAAGGCTGCAGAAAGAGTCAGGAGCCAGAGGAGGGGGCAAAGGAAGAGAGGAGGTGAGGGCAGAAAGTGAAAATGAAAGCAGACAACAGAACATTGCTAGAGAGCAGGAAAGAAGGTGAAAGGAGACAAATTTAGAGAAGAAAATTTTTCGGTCGCTACCCGGATTCGAACCTCGGACCTTTAAATGAGAGGCCAACACCTTAACCTCTAGGCCACGAGAGCCCCCCTATTTACACAGTTATTTGTTTACATTTATATATATAATGTATATATATATATAATATATACATATATATATATATGTAAAAGAAATTGAAAACAAAAAGGCTTGTTCAGAGTTGAGTCTTGTTGCTTTCCTCTTTTGTCATGATCTGCCTAAAATATCACATAGGACCCTTTGTAACTTATTAAGGGGGACTGGGTGTCCTGACAATTGTTTGAAAACCGATAATATTGACAGGATTTATTGTTAGTTGGCACAGGTTGCAGGGTAGCAGCTCAAGTATTGTATCTTGGGGTTTTGGCGAAAATTAGTTTTTGGACATATTCTGAGGTGCTGGGAAGGTATGCATGCTCTGTAAAAGACCCAGAGTTGTGCACTTATTTTAGTGAAAATACCCTTTAAATTGAAATTCCAGGTATTGTTTATGGATATAATGGTGAAAAAATCAGTTTTTTGTTTCGTCTGTAAAATTTGAAAAACCTGAGTTGTGATAGTTGTGCTGCAACCTTGTGAGGTAATGAACCTGGTGAAGAAAGGTCTACGGTGAGTGGTCAGGATAAGTGGCTATTTGGTTGTCATTGAATCTCAACTGTCTTGGAAGTGTAAGGGGGTTTAGGGAATCTGTTCAAAAATTGATTTGGATTTATTTTGTAAAATAAATTCTCAAGGCCCTATATTTCCTAGAATGAAATAGATTGTACCATGACCGTTGTAGCTCAAAATCCCTTTAAGTGATGCCCATTTCCCCCACCTCCCCATCTTCCCTCTGATGAAATGCTGCATCGATTCAAAAGACAGTTTATTATAATTATGTCTGCCTATAAATGATTTATATTAAATCTTGAGTTGGTCTTCTTAGCTGTGTGTGGTCTGCTACTGTAGTCCTATACTCTTTAGACTTATAGGACTTGCACTTAATTCATTGACGCGTATGCATATATGCAGTCAGGCACGGATAACTCAAACACATCGGGGATTGACAAAGAAATGTGTTTGACACATCCATAATAATTCAGATCAACTGATAGCGAAAAGTTAAGGTGATATCAGCCGGGGAATGGCAAATTATATGAGCTATCAGTGATTCCGAGTTTTTTGTGTTATATGTGCCCGACTGTATATATATATATTTATATAAATATATATATTTATATAAATAAATATATATATATATATATATATATATATATATATATATTTATATAAATATATATATATATATATATATATATATATATATATATATATAAAACAGGGGCTCTGATGACAGCACTTTTGTGCCCCTTTGATTTTGAAATTCGTCTGTTCTTGTGCCTGCTCTTAGACTTAGAGAACTTTTGTCTATGTTCCAGCCCTCATGTTGGGCTGTTTGTGAGTTTCACGTGTATTCACCGGTAGCATGTGGTTTTCCCAACACGATGAATCAAATGAATGTCGCAATGTCAGCATTTTCTCAGCACATGCAAGCCCCTTTTGTGTCTTTGCAGACCTTGTTCACCAGCTACATAGAACGTCTCTTGAAAAGTCTGTTTTAAAAAGTCTCCCTTTATTCCATTGGTTTCAATCTCTATTATTTTTAATATGTTGCCGTTTTCATGCTGAAAGATGCAGACGACATGAATGAAAATTTAGCACAGTTACTGCAGAGAGCAGTACAGTACATGTTTTTTACTTACACTTGAGCCCTTTTCGAGGATAAAGTGGTATTCAAAGAAAGTTTATCTGAAGCATTTGGTAGTGTGGAGAGGTTGCAAAATCAGAAGTGCTCTTGTGCATCATGTACAAAAATATACATGTGATTTTATTTTACCATTTGTTGTAAGTAGAGACCTAATACTTTATTATTGAATCACATTATTTGAATCGTATACAGTTTATGTTTTGTCTTGCACAGTAGAGCAGTCATTTTCCACCTGCATCTTATTTTCAAGAGACTGCATTCAATATGAAATTACACGGTGAGAAAGATCGCATTAAATGAAGAGATCAAACAGGGTTTGAACCAGGTTGGTTTACACTTGACGCATGCTTATAAGGACATTTGTTCCTGTTTGCCAAAATTGTGTCTGAAAAAAACTTTTGTTTTTTTTGTGTAGTAATGTGCATGCTATACTATATGTGTCATGACATGGAATCAGGCGCTCGTCAATTTTGGGGCATATGAAGTTATTGGTATCATCTTAAAGGTTGTTCATTTGCCTTGCTTTCAATGTAAAAAATATCCATTTATCTTGCACAAAAGTCGAGATATTTGCGATTGAAAGAGGTAGTGTTGCACCTGGTTTCAGAAGTAAAATTAGCGAGAAAAGGTCAGGTGATTTCCGTAGCTCAAGAGTCCTTGAAAACTGCAAATTTACATTTTTTGTGCCTTTTAATCAACGTTTTTCCATAGAATCAAACACTTTCAAGTGTTTCTGAGTGGAATACAAGATGTTGATCCAAAAAATAAAAATTCAGAAAAATTTTCAAAACTCAGAAAAATGCATATTTCTTTAAATTTCATTATTTTGACGAGCGCCTGATTTCACCAGGATGCTCCACATATATTTTGTATCTTATAAAAGAAAGAACTTGTCAGTACAAAGGCTGCTACTTCCTTTGTTAGCTGATATTTGGGTAGGCACCCTGAAGAATATTCAGGTTGTAAAGCACATACAGCTTGCTGTTGAGTGGGAATTTGCTTTATAAACAAATGCTATTTATTATTAAGAAAATAGTCTGCTTTGCAGAGGGAGGAAACCGTATCAAAATCCGGACCTGGATTGGCAGAAGCTGGCATTGTTGGGCTGGAATGTTTATATTAGTTCATACCTCACGAGTTGCTAGTGTTATCACCATCCCCGTTCCCAGATATATGTCCACGTACCCAGCTATGCTCAATAATAGGTTTGTTGTTTTTATCACAAATAAATTCTTATTTTGTTTTTCCTTTTGTGAGTGATTCTCAATAAAATGATGCATCCACATACATTTGTTGCTTTGAATAAACTTCGAATTGCTTTGAGGAGTCTGATGGTAAGACCACACTGAAGTGGGTGGTTGGCGGGTGCTTTGGTATGGTTTGTTTCTATCAAACATGTTATCGCTATCTCTATTCCTTCTTTTTTGGTGTTTGTGTCTTGCAAAACCTTGCTGTATGCTCCTGTGCGAATGCCAGCTGACGAATATAGAACTCTTGGCTCAATTAATGGTTCCTCAAAATCTGTTCACCAATGTTTGTGTTTTGTTTTCTCTGCTAGTTCTGATGAATGTTTTATCGTGTTTTTTCCTTTTTTGTTGTTGGCATTCTTCGTGTAGTATTTGTAGTGGCTGCTCCTTTTAAATGATGCATTTCAATATGGCTGGATATTAAAGCGTCAGAATGCATGGGTATTTACATAGAATATAACTTGATTCTTTGTGAAGGAGAGTCTTTGACTTACTTTAACACTTTGCAGTCACTTGCTGCAATAATGCGCCAGTGAAAATTATCTGTTCTGGTCACTTAGTGCAGTTCTGCACCAGCCCGAGAAGTCTATTGCAGAGCAGTGGCGCTCCTGGCTGGGTGGCCTGATGGGGGTATTTTGTACTGCTGGCTGTGTGACTGCAGTGTTAATATTCTCATAACAACCCACATTCACAAAGAGCCTTGCAAGGACTTGTAGCCTGATTTTGTTCACCATTCTCAAGTACCTTACTCTACAGTTGTGCAGTTTGTTTGTGAATATTTCTGTTGAGATAGAAAATTAGTGGGTGGTTGGCGGGTGCTCTGGTGTGGTTTGCTTCTTCTTTCCTATCAAACATCTATCGTCCCTATCTCCCCTTCTTCTTTTTTATGTTTGTTACTCTCTTCTAACACCTCTAATCTTCTGATGCTTATATGACCTTATGCAGTTGCAAGCGCCGTAAAACCTCTACTAAAACAAAAAAATACAAAATTCATGTAGGTGGTTGGTGGGTGCTCTGTCTGGTGTGGCTTTCTCCTTCCTTCTTATCAATCTTCAATAGTCCTTATCTCTCCTTTTTAAAAATTTGTATGTGTTACTCTTTAGTAATACCTCTAATATTCGGCACTTATATACGATCTATTTTTGTTGCAAGTGCTGTAAAACTTACTAAAAACTAAACTGAAAAGATAATTAATTGCAAAGTAATAAAATGATTCACCTTCTGTAAAACTTACTAAGACTAAACTGAAAAGATAATTAATTGCAAAGTAATAAAATGATTCACTTTCGTTTTACATATATTTTCACCCAACTGTTATTTTATATGACAGTTGATGATGTTGATGTCTGAACGGAAAAGAAGCGAAACAGTTCTTGGAATGGCTGATTGTGATCACATACCTGCCAACCCTACAGAAAAAATCGGTAGATCACCGACTTTTGGGTCAAACTACCGATCCACCGATTTTGAGATGAAGCCACCGACTTCGGGATTCAGCAGGGTGACTGCCAGGCCCCGGGAATTACCCGGGAATTTGAGAAAGTTATCGAATATTTGAAAACTAAATCCGATAACGCCCGCAAGTTCATTTTTGCCGGTCGCGATTGTGATTCATTCGGCTCCCTCGAGAGTATGTTTCTTCATGCAGACAGGCGGCTATGGTGGCAAGCGGGTGTGATACCGACGTTTGATCGGGATAATCAAGATATAGATCTACTTTCACTTTCGTTACCACCCAGAAATTTGCTGGTAGTAGTTTGATAACGCAACATTAATTGTAACAACATAAAGGCTGTGCATGGCAAACGCTGTGTCGCCTTGAAAATAAATAAATATTTGTCTTGTGCTGTCACTTGTGAAAAAAAAAAGAAAAGAAAAGAAAGTTATAGTTATAATACAAGCGTCTTGTCGGGTTCGCCATTGTGACCGGTCAATGAACTTGCGCGTTTCATCACATTGTGAGCACCGGCACTTGAAGGGGTCACCAAAGTTCATTCAAAGTCTGAGCGCTGCGTAGTATAGGACTCCGGAATGGGGGGGGGGGGGGGGGTATTTTTTTAAAAGATACACTCGGGGGAGGGGAGGGGGCTGAAGGCAACACCAGGGGACAAAAACTGAACTTGGAAGCAAATTTTAGTATTCTAAATTTTTTATTACCACTATATCTAGATCTAGATCTAGAAAACTCTCTGCAAAACGCGTGTTGGTGCAGGCCTTGTGTGGACTCGGGATCCGTCATACTCTTTCCTTGTAAACTCTGCAAAGACAAAAGGCTAGGCCTAAGTCATCCAAGGCCCACCTTTTCTTCATCTTTTCTTCTTTGCTTCTTTTTTTGTGTGTGTGTGGGGGGGGGGGGTGGTTTCATTTGTGTGTGTGCGTGCAGGTATGAATAGGACAGGAACTGCACCAACTACTAATAGGGTAAATGGCTCTGGTAGTTTTCATATTTGTCTTTTCTTTTTTTTTTTCTTTTGGTAATTTCCTACATTTGTTTGAAGTCGCAAACACAATCATGCATATTTGATGTGGGTCAAAATAAAATATTGATAAGGGTCCCAAATTAAGTATGCGACAAGAGGTAATATAGCCTACTACAGATTTTTTAGGTCAACTACAGATTTTGGGACAACAATTTGCGTCCAACTACAGATTTTGGCCCAGGCAATGTTGGCAGGTATGTGATCAGTATACTCATTGTAAATCGCAGTTTAATTCTTCATCAAAAAGTGTTACTGCTGTGCACACTGTTATGTACATGAACACAGCAGGGCGTGCTCTTGCTCCAAGACATGAACATGGTGGTTTCAACGATATGCTGAATCATTTAGTCACTGACCAGGTGTTCATCAGTTTTCAGCGAGTAGATTTAATTTATTTAATTTTGAGTTCCTCCACCTTTTTTTCCCAATTGCTGCGATCTATCTCCTGTCTGCAATGACCAGCTGCTTGATCCTAAATGTATTTGTTCTACAGATAGGGGTGAAAATGTAAAACCAGACAAAAAACGAAATCTAAAAATTCTTACACTAACTGGAATCCAATCCAATCCAATTGGAGATGGCTTGCTTGGCACAATATCCAACTGGGGAACTTGACCTTTCTTTGAAAATAAAAAAATAGAGATTACCATGATGCCGTTTGTTACACTTCCAGAACTGATTTGTATCAAATGTGTATGCTCTGAATCTGGTCAATATAAACCTTGAGGTTTTTTTTCTGTCATTGCCGTTCTTTTACGACACTAAGAAATGTCCACAAACGCTTTCTTGAAACTTCCCTCTTAGATTTATGTCCATGTCCATTGGGAGGCAGATTCTCTCTATTTGAAAAAATATATATTCAGTATGTAGTAGTAGTAGTTAAGTTTTTCACTAGCACAACATAAAATGTAATGAAGGAAACTTGAAACAATCAAACTTTTAATTTCATGTAATTATTATTTAATTAGAAGGGTTATAACATATTTACAGTACATGTATATGACTAGGAAAACATTTTAAAATATCAAATTGCTGTATACTGCAAAGTTACTGCATTTGGTAACGGAAATAACTGAGGGGGGAAAAAGAAACAACTAAGTGTAAAAAGCAATTATAAAAATCAGTAAAACAATAAAGCTGACACTAGGGGCCACTCGCTCATCCAGTTGCGTCACACAGCTCATGGCAGCAAAAATCTGGACAACATGGCCATTCACAAATGTCGTTCAAAAACTTCTTGAACATGTGATCTGATAGAATTCAACTCCTGCAAAACAGAAAACTAAAGCGCATAGAAGGCATCTAAAGCAGTCGGGATACCTCATGACGTTCTCGTTTGATCAGAGTAAACCTTTTAAATGCATATCTGCGTAGGCCTGTTTTCTCCTCAGATAAGAGTTTAAACTTTATGTTGGATGACACCAAAGCCCTAGTAACAAACACTATCATGATTTATGACTGGGAAGAAAATGCTAAAAACAAAGGGCAAAGGTGTGAAATTTACATTAAAAAAAAAAATAGAAATGAGTTTCTGTATGTTCAATCTAGACATGTCAAGTAGTTCCAAACCTTGAAACATAAAAAAAACCCAACAACTCAGGTGTGAGTCGTTTCTTTTTTTTAATACGTAAATCAAATTAACCAAATTCCAACCCAGTAAGTAGCATATCCTCTTGTACTTTAATGAGGTAGAGAAGAAGAAAAAAGTATGTTTAATCAAATACTTAATTCGGAACACCGTCATTCACTCTGCCGCAGTTTCTCTCAACCCGTTTCTTGGGTATAGTCTCAATGCAACAAGTATTACAATATGTACAGCCTTGGACTGTTAGTAATGCCTGGTGATGAGTTTAGTTTATTGGTGTCTAAGTACTGGCACTGGGCATGCTGAGACTGGATTAAAATAGTCACATTCTTACAATACATGCCTGGGTCATTCCGTTGACAATTTGCATTGTTATCCATAAACAAAGAGATATTGAGTACTTTTCAATGTTTATTCTCTGATTTGGCTTGCCATAAATTGTTAACGACACATTTCACTGAAAAGAGATTCTGTCAAGACCTGAAATATCTTGAGCAAGGACCTTTCGACCTTTCTTTTAAGTTTGTCCAGAACATTTAAGAATGACCCTGGCATTTATTATACGAAAATGGCAATATGAAGTGAAGCTGTGTGTAAATAAGCAACATTATGGCCATTCACAATTCTAGTTTCCTGCGTCTCTACCAGAGGAACAGAATGAGTATGCACATAGCAGTATTATAAAATCTTCCCTTCAGAAAGTAGTCTAATGCTGCAGGTAAATCTGTACAGAAATATCCTTTGTCTCAAGTCACTGTACAACTGACATATAACCCAGGCAAGCTCTTGACGCCTTCATGTAAGGACAAACACCATGCACAAAAACACAATACCCACCAAAAAAAAAAAAGTCACACTTTCAGGGGAAAAAAATAAACCTTTTTTTCTCTACTGCACCAAATAGCTGTTTCATAACACTTGTTTCAATGCAGTACAAGACGTGGGTTTAAAGACCTGTCAAAGAGTTTTGTGGATCCTACTTTGATCTTTTGACAAGGGCAGAGAATACAAGTCAGAATAAGAGTATCACATTTCTTTTTTCTCCACAAAACACATCTTGTAATGAAAAACAACAAGAATTGTTTACTCCTGAAATTTTGCAACGATAGAAAAACAGTGATAGATAGAAACTGAATAAAGGAATTGTGTAAATCAGTAGCAAAGTTGTAGAAAAAAAGAAGAGCCATCTAAAAAGCTACTTCAATGCATGTAAAAGTAAAACGAACATTAAAGTTTCTTTGTAAGACCACTAACCGGAAAATAAAAAGTAACCTGACGAGCATAAAAAACTGACCGTCCCAGCTTCAATACTGACTTTCTCTACACATCGTACTATGTGATTGAATGTCCGTGTAGATTCACAAAAGAAACTATCCATGCATGCATTCAGAATACCAAATTGAGTTGAATACCTGTAAGCCATATATCTAACCACCAACTATTCAAGAGCAACTGGCAGTAACAGCTGGGCACAGTTTACTCCTTATAGACCTCTTCTGTATTTTCAGGTAATTTGTTGAATAGCTCTTCACAGAAGTGGGTGGTTGGCGGGTGCTCTGGTGTGATTTGCTCCTTCTTTCCTATCAAACATCTATCATCCTGATCTCTCCTCCTTATTGTGTTGCAAGTGCCGTAAAACTCTTACTAAAACTAAACTCTTCAAAGAAGGTATTGACACCTTTGTACAACACCTATCACCATACAGACAATCCTACTGTGCCTAATAAGACACAATCATCACCCTGGTAAAAATCAACCAGTGATAAAACTATTAAAACTTGTGGTTACATTGACTGTGGCAGTGGAGTGAGTCCCTGTCATAACAAAACAAACTACGTTAAAAGCGAACAGCACTAATCCCATCAAAAATATTTTTGACATCACTATTGATAAAACAAAACGAACTCGCTAAATGTACACATTCTTGTACATTTTTCTCTGTCCTAAACATTAAGGCAAAAGCAGTTCTAACCTGTGCACAAGTAGGAGAAATAGTAACATTGCATGCCAACAATCACCATTGATTCTATTGCTTTGTTTGCTTTCTCATTATACAAAACTGTATTTCAATCTGGGTAATCTATAAATCCCGATTAACTTTAAACAGTTCTTTTGTACATCAACACATACCAAAAGGCAGACAGAACACAACCTCTGTGACGCAACCACGGACAGATCTTAACATACATCAAAGAACAATCGCCATCTTCTTGACACAGAAAAAAAAACACCATTCAAATTGTAAGCACCATAGAAATTTTGCGTACAATGTACAGTATTTGTGTAGTAGAAGAAAGCGAATGGTTGAAATGGAGGGAATCTCTGCTTCTCTGTGGTGCAGAGAGACAGTGTATAGGCACAACTCACTGCTGGTATTTGCCACAAAACAGAATTCTGTCTCAGTCTTAGTCTCATAACCTTCCATTCATAAGGTCTTCGCCAGACAGAAACATTTTAAAATGCAAATGTCAAGGCAAGTTATACATTTGGCCACTACCCATCGAGATCTGACAACAGAATCAAACTTTTTCTGATCAGATTCATGTATCAACTACTCGCACAAGAAACATATATCAATTTCCCAAATGGGATCTGATTATTTGAACCCACTGCTAAGAACAATGCAGTGAATATGCTGCTCAGGATTTCTTCAATTTCAGAGTTATCAAGCGTTCACTTTCATTACTCAGAAGAGGAATCTGTTAACATGGTCGACAAAATTCAACTGACAATCCTATTTCCATGAACTTCTCACTCTCTGCCTATATGTAGATTCCTCACACATATCAGTATCTCATAACAACAAGATAGTGCATAGACTAAATGTTGTGTCAAGTCTACTCTTGAATTCTGCCAATCTCACAGCATTGTATGATCACGAAAACAATGTAATTTCGCTTCCCTTCCACAAGAATGCTACTTATACATATCCAATCTCTGCACACACTACTCAACCCATACTTCTGTCTCATAATATGCCATCTATTAAGTACAGATGTAACACGCTTTATATGTAATGTTCTAACATTCCAAATGCTTTGTAGAATGCAGGTGGCAATATGCGTACATGTACAGTACACGTACCTCTGAAATGAATTCGGAGACAAAGGACGGAAAAACTATGAGCGCTCCCAGAGAGTGACTGAGTCAGCCCCTCAAACTGGTACTGACAATTTGCACGTATCTATTTTGACCCATGTCTTTAGCACCTAATGTTTTCACATGGCCATAGCATTATATATTAGATGTTCGTTCTTTGTTTCTATTCTCTGTAAGGAGATCACGGTTGAGTCTCCAAAAACACATCATAAACATGACAACTAACCTCTCATAACAACGTACATGTACTCTCATAACTACTGAAGGGTTAATAGCTTTATGACTCTGTTTTTTATTCACATACATCACACTTCGTACATACACGCCACTCGTGCGTCTTAACACATACATCACTCTCATGTCTCATCACACACACAAACCCCCTCCCATGCCTCAACACACACTCTCTTCTCCGCTGAGCGCTATCAGCTTCATGTCTCTGTTCTCCAGCTCTAGCGTGAGCTGTTGCACTTCTGTCTCCAGCGTGCTGTTCTTGCGCTGCATCTGCACGTAGTTGAGCTGCAGCTGTTTCTGGTAGCGCACTACTTTGTTCTTCTCCTCCAGCCACTGCTCCCGCTCCTTGTCCTGGTCGCCCTTCAACAGTTCCAGCTGAGTCTTCACGTTGACTAGCTCCTCCTGCAGGCTGCTGATGGCGCGGTCGCGCTCCCCTAATGCTGAGGGCTTCACATTCTCTGAGACGCTCACCTCGCTGGGCGTGTGTGTTTGGGAGGACGCCTCCACTAGGATGGCCGGGTTCTTCAGACGCCCCAACTCTTCCTTCATCTGGCTGAGCTGGTCGTTCCTCGTGGAAGCCTCTCGCGCACGCTCCAGAAGCTCTTTGTTCTTGTTCTCTATCTCAGCCTCCAGCGCGTGCAGCTCGGACTTGAGCCGAATGATCTCCTTGTTCTTCACCACCACCTCCTCCTGGCTTGCCTCTGTCTCCGACACGCTCCCGTCTTTTGGGGACGAGGAGCCCAGATTGAGCTGCTCCCGAAGCTTTGCCACCTCCTCCCTGCTCTCCTCCAACTGTTGCCTTAATGTGTCTTTCTCACCCGCAGCTTTCAACTTCTCGTCTTGTAACGTCTTCTGCTCTTGCTGCAGTTTATACACCTGCAGGCTCAACACCTGCTCTGTCTTGTACGACTTGCGGCTCTGCACTTTGAGCTTGCGCTCGTAATCGTCTCTTAACTCCTGCGAGTCGTGGAGCCACGCGTTCCTCCTCTCCTCGTACACCTGGAATATTGCACGTTCATTGCGGTCCATCACCTCCCTCAGTGTGTTGATCTCCGCGTCCTTCTCTCTCAGCATTGCCTCCAGCTCCCCAACCCCGCTGTCGCTAGGGGACGGCGTCTGTAACATGATCTCTGCCCCCTGTTGCCACAGCCGGCTCGTGCCCAGGGAAGGGACTGAGTCGGGCCGCACTTCCCCGCTCAGGCTCGTCGCTTCTTCGCCGCCCGACAGACGAGACGAGTTGGCAGAAATGTGGGACGAGTTTCCGGAAACGTGCGACGAGTTGGCAGAAATGTGAGACGAATTGGCAGAAATATGAGAAGAGTTCGCAGACAGATTGTGCTGTGAAGAGGCTGACGCGTTGTGGTACGAGTGAGTGGACGTATTGAGGTGGGGCAGGCCGGGGTGGTGGGGGGCGTGGGCACCGTTGTATAAGGCGGAGGAGGCGGAGCCAGCCGGGGATGGGTGGGCCGTCGGGTGAGGCATCGGGAGCCCGGCATCGGACGAAGTAAAGCTGCTCGCACCGCCCGCGCCGATGCCCTGGCGAGCCGAGTTGAAGGCTCCGCGGTTACCGCCGCCACTCCCGCCCTTGCCAGGCTGAGGGTCCGGGCTCGCCTGCAGTCCCAGCATGCTGGTCCCCAGACGCATGGCAATGGGGCGGGGCATCTCTTGGCAGGCCCCGCCTCCTGACTCCTCCCCACTGGTTGGTCGTCTGGCTACCTGTCCCACGGGGCTCCGGGCTGGACTCCCATTGGTCGGCTTATAGGCAATCGGTTTGATGAGGTTTGGACCAGGCTTCTGAAATAATTGAACCAAAAAAAAAAGGTGGATCATATTGTAAAATAATTACTGTCTGGGGTTGTGCTAACCTTTGTGGAAGAATAACGACGATACAACGCGAGTCTCCCATCCCATGAACGAGTTTCTTTGTTTGAGTAAAGAAAAGCACGTCGACACAATCATCGTCATTTCGTGCTGGGGAAAAGTATGACAGACAGACAGACAGACATAAACAACAGGGGAATAGTAAAGAAGTAGGACCTATCAGTGGCGTCCTCCAACCACCCGCATCCCATGAACTGAGCGGGATTATAGTAACACAGAGACAAGTACGTGTTGAAGTATCTAAGTATTAACCAACCAACTACATAATGTAATAGCTGACAAATGACTTGCAAATTCTTCACTAGCATTTATCAGTCACTTGTCAATTCGACTAACACAGAAACACACATACACATAAGTCGAAAAGGGGGTGGAAGGGTTGAGGGTGAGGTGGGGTGGGGCAAAGAGACAAGGGGAAACAAAAGTTAGAAAGGGAAACAAGAGAAATAGAAAATACCACCAGTGCCCAGCAACCACTTGCACGTATTTGAACTATGGAATATATCATGGGGCACACTACGTTTGCTTTGTTCGTCTATGCTTCCATGATGAATTGAGAAAGGAAAATGGAATAGTTGAGTTGTTAAGTGACCCGGCCAGTTCATCAGTCAGAGAACCCCAGCTATACAGAAACCTCCTTTCAACATCCCACCCTCACAAAAAAACCCATTTTTCCTTAAGAAAATTGAAAGAAACGCGATATAAGTGGCACCGTTCACGTAATACCCCCTTCCCTTCCCCTCAACCGAAAACGGGTGCCGTCAGCTATCACCGACGCGAACAGCTTCAATTGCAAGACCAATCACTGGCCCTGTAGTCTCTTTTCTCAGGAGCTGAATACCATGCCCATGGTGAGTACTTTTGACGGATTACACGAATAAAAAAGTACGAACACTAGCAGCTTTCAGGGAGTGAAACCCAACTAGTCTAAGCTGACAAATTCTTTCTTCCCCAGTCCGTGAATCAGTCAACGTAAAAGTAAAAAATAATCCGGGCTCTTCGAAACGAACCGCCACCTCGTTGTTTCTCTTGAAAGAAACTTCCGCTCTGTAAAGGATCAGACTTCCGGGAACTACTCTAAGTAAGTGGCTATCCCTACGCTCTTTTTACCCCCCGACCGTGACACAGACAAAGGCAAACAGAAGACACCCCATCACGAGCACGAAAGTCCAACTCTTCGCTAATACTCCCATAGACACTGCACGACTGCAGGAAACTGAAATCCACAGAAAACAAAGACCCACCAAAAGAGCAGCAGCTTCAATGAAAGGCAACGTAACCGAGAACGTGCACGCTGTACATTTTGTAGTGTCGGAGAGTTCAACTTGAAGCCTACAGTTAAGACGGGTTGAAATATATACGATGAAAGGACATGGTAACGATCACATTAATCCGGAACATTTTAGGAAAATTACATGAAAAAAAGATGTAGAAAGGGCAGAGTACACACTACAACCTCACCAAACATCTACTTTTTTGAGGAGGGAAAGGGGTCCGGGGGGGGGGGGGGGGGGGGAGAAACCAACCCACCGTTGGGTGGGATAGGTTCTTAAAATATTTTGCGGGTTTCGGGGTTCAGCCCCAATAATACTTTTAATCCTTTAATGGATTTGTCCAATTAATCGCAAGAAATAAGGAAAAACGGCCTAAAAAGGAATGACCCAACAAAGATCCACTTATTTGAAGAAAAAAAAAAAGGGGGGGGGGGGGGGTCCACGAGCCCAAAATCAATAGGAGCGTCCTGAACTTATATGATGGAGTGAATCTTTCGACCAGCCATTTTAGCGACACATCTTTGGATCTAACTGCCTCTTTTTCAGTGGTCAGACCATCACTACTTTACCAAAAAAAAAAAACACCACACACAAAAAACAACAAAAAACAAACACACAACAACAACCAACAACCCACTTTTCAGCTAAAAAGACCCCCCCCCCTGAATCTCACCACAGTAAAGGTAAGCCAGCCACCAGCACGCACGCCATACACACGAGTCAACAAAACCACGCAAGAGCTCGGCGGGGAAAGCGGCGACCTGACGACGCGCCGACTTCCGACCATGGACGGACAGTGTGGTTTGTTGAAGTTGAAGGTAACACAGACAAGTCAGTCGTGGCGCTGAAAAGTGTACGTAAT